TTGCAATTTGCAATTAGGCTCCGCCCCATAATTGCATAATCCATATTTTCTTGCAAAAAATGTACCATTTTAACCATGTTTTAAATTTCATGTTGTGAAAAGATGGCTATGTAATTAAGAAAAAAAAAGCAAAATATAAGCCCCGCCCACCCACCCTATCTCAATTCTAATGATTTTTTTAATTCGTCGTAAGCAGAGGGGCGGATTTTAATTGTAAAATCCTTATTTTTCTACGAGAATGTCATTTACCAAAATCGGTCTTATTTTAACAGGTAGTAGCCCCGCCCACCCACCCTCTCTTTCTTTGGAAGGTATGCCATTTGCCAAAATCACTCTTACTCTAGCTAGTAGCTGCTAAGATAAAACTGATTTTGGCAAATGAAATGCCCTCTAAGAAAAGAGAGGGTGGGTGGGCGGGCCTACTTCCTGCCAAGGTAAGACTGATTTTGGCAGATGAAATCCCTCTAAGAAAATGGCTTTAGCACCTGCTAAAATAAGTCGATTTTGGCAAATGACATACCCTCTAAGAAAAGAGAGGGTGGGTGGGTGGTTCTGTGAGGCTAGTAACTGCTAAGATAAAACTGATTTTAGCAGGTACTAGCCCCACCCACCCACTATTGTCTTAGAGAATATGTTATTTGCCAAAATCAGTTTAACAAGTACTGGTAAGTATTTGTAAAGAGAAGACTGGTTTTGGCCAATGACATACCCACCATGAAAACGGAGGGTGGGTAGATGGGGCTAGTACTACCTAAGATACGACTGATTTTGGCAAATCATCAGTGGCGGCTTGTCAGGTGAGGCAGGTGAGGCGGGGCCTCACCATACATAATCATAAAAAATATTTTTCTTCCATACTATTTTTTTGTATGTACGGGTAATTTAAAATTAGCGCGACAATTGAACTTTCTATGCCAACCACAAAATAAAGGCGCAGCGTTATTCTAACCAATCATGTATTATCATGCGTTTAGGCCGGCCTCACGGGTTGATTAAAAGGTAGGACTAGGAGGCTAAGTTTTTACAACGCATAGTATTACCGCTACCGCTTATTATGGGAATCAAATGCTTTAGGACAGATAGTTTTGAGGCCGGCCGCAGCTCTTATCTGATTGGTTCTCCTTCTTAGCTCAGTCCACATCATATGTCAACAAGCACGTGCGTTTTGCATTTTGCAGTGTGCATAAATTTTTAATTTCAGTCGTTGTCGTTAACGAGTTCGGTACTAGTGAATTGTGGGTACTCCGATTAATTTTATTTGTAATTAAATAATAATGAACATGGAAGTAGGCCCATCTGGTACTCAGGTAATTTCTACTGTTCGAAATACAAGTGACATTGTTTCATTGTTAACTTCCTCGTGAATAAATGTCCCTTCAATAAGTTAACATACGAATTTAAATTGTTTGTAAAGCAAAGCGAACGTCCATGTCCAGATCTAAGCTTAACATTAATTCAAAGAGAAAAACAAAAAAAACAGGGCGTTCAGTCTCAATTGGTATACAAAATATGATTGGCTTGCTGGGAGTACAACTGTGAATAAACTTTTCTGTTGGCCATGTATTTTATTCTCGGATAGTGGAGAATCGGTTTGGTGGAAAACTGGATATGCAGATTTGAAAAATTTGTTGCGTTCCTTGGAAAAACATTCCAAAAGTAAAGATCACATATCATCTACTTGCAAGTTTGTTCTTCTCGGCCAACAGAATATTGTCAGTACTCTAGATTCTGCTCACAAAATTGAAATAGAAATTATTAAAAGGTCAATTGATGTTGCTATATTTTTATGCACACAAGAGCTTCCCTTTAGAGGACATGACGTGTCAGAAACGTCTTTCAATCGCGGAAATTTTAAAGAATTAATTTCATCCACCTCCACCTCGGTTCTTACCGGACAGTTGATTATGTGGTGCATTTTGGTTAATATTTTTTTATGTTAAAATTTCCTGTGATCAAAAAACGCCAAATTCGTGATTCAATAAATTTTCATCTAGTATTGACGTATAAAACCAACTTACAATTCCAAATTTTTTAAGTAAGTCGCCAAGTGTGGGCAAAATGAAAGTGGAAATTTTTTGAATCGTGATTTGTAAAATGTTCAGGTATCACTTCCAACTGACAGAGTAGAGTAATTTACAGATATAAAAAAATTATATGTATGTAACTAATTTTACGTCATAAGGTGTGGCCTCACCAAAATTTTAGGTCACGAGCCGCCACTGCAAATCATATACCCTCAAAGAAAATAAAGGGCGGGTGGGTGCAGGCGCGGATACAAGATTTCGTTCAGCCCCACCCCCCCCCCTCCCCCTGCAATTTTTGTGCAATTTTACCTATCGACCAGAAATTCGTTTTAAACAAAAAAATTTATAAAATTTTAGCTAGTATACTCTTTTTCACATAACATGGGTGACATTTGGTACTTTTCATTACACGTATAGTGTACAGTAATAATCCTAATTAATTGGCAAAAAGGTGTGTTCGGATTAACGATTTGTTCGGATCAGCAATTTTCCCAAAAATCTGAAAGGGAATTGAATAACAACTTCATACACAACTGAAAACAAACTTCAAGAAATAAACCAAAATTTTATTAAACAAAAATTAAAGAATTCTTAAGCAACAATGGATAATAATAGATACATTCTAAAAAAATATTACTCTGTGACCATAAACACGCTATCTTTTGGAATAAACACCCCGGGATCTATACCCTGAAATTTTTCAGAATTTTTAGATGAATTTTTCAAAAATGAAATTTTCCATTATGTATTCGTATTACCTCCATTATGCAAATTTCGACCCATTCTCGACGATTTTCGAAATTTAACTAAATATTTTCTTGTAGATTTTGGACCTCAGAAGTCACTTCTGGCTTCATTTCTTCGATAACTTAAACCATTTTTCCAGAATCGTTGAAATATCGCAATTTTTAAAAATTTTGAAAAATTCGAATTTCACAGCGAATTTTCCGAAAATATTGCTCCGTTACCATAAACATGGTATATTTTTGGAATCAGCACGTCGGGATATATATCTCTGAATCTTTTCAGAATTTTTAGGAAATTTTTTTCGAAAATGAAATTTTTCTCATGCAAATTTCGACCCATTTTCGACGATTTTCGAAATTTAACCAAATACTTTCTCTTGTAGACTTTGGGTCTCCGATAACTTCATCCGTTTTTCCAGAATTAGTTAATTAATTCAGTGCTTTGAATTATCGCAATTTTTAAAAATTTCAAAATATTCCATACAACATATGCAGAAAGATCTTGCGTCATTTTTGGAAGTAGATGCATGTTTTCAAGTTCAGATCGGATTGCAAAGTTTTTGTTCGGATTAAAGAGGCATCGACTTCAAATAGCCTCTGTTCGGATTACTGGATGTTGAGACAATCGTGAGTTCGGATTATAGAGGTTGTACTGTATTTACAAAATGAAATATGATTTCAAAATTTTGAAATTGGTCAAAATAAAGTACCTCGGTCGTATGTCAGGGGGGGGGGGGCAATGGGTGCAATTGCAATTGTGGATCCGCGCCTGGGTGGGTGGTGGAGCTAGTATTTGTAAAGATTCGACTGATTTTGGCCAATGATCTACCCACCATGAAAACAGAGGGCGGGGCTAATACTTCCTACGATACGACTGATTTTGGCAAATCATATACCCTCAAACCAAATAAAGGGAGGGTGGGTGGGTCTAGTATTTGTGAAGATACGACTGATTTTGGCCAATAATATACCCACCATGAAAAGTGAGTGCGGGTGGGCGGGGCTAGTACTTGATAATATTATAATAATATTAAATGGCGTAATATTAGTACACCTTACTATCTCTATCAAAATTTGATTTTCGTGAAATTAGTGCTGTCAACTAGGAAAAGGTCCCTCCTACTTCAGGAGATTTTCCTTCAAGTTGGCAGCACTGCACACCACCGCAATTTGATTGGTTGAAAACCTAAGTTCAATGGCAATGCAACAGCGAAAGTTAAAAATTGGTCATCTCGAACGTCACCCCAACAGCGTGCCAACTTTCAACAGCAACGTCGACAGATGATATAAAGGCATACCTTCGCTGGTGTATTTCTCTTCCAACGGCAACGTCAATAGCAAACAGCAACATCAGGGGCAAATTTAAAATTGACCTTAACATTCAAATCACTTTAAAGTGGAATTCCTTTAAATAACGTCATCAAATTATCGGTGGATAGGATTCCCAAAATTTTGGTTAGTATTTTGCCATCTCCGTGATATTCCTAACATACATAAAAAATTTAACAACAATCGGTCCAGTAGTTTCGGATATCACGTGTCTCATAAGAATCGACACAGGCGCCAGGTAGTCAGACGGAGATACAGACAGACGGAAACGAGAGACTTTTTTCGTACTCTGTTCAGTGCAATTTCAATATATCGACTTCGACAAAGGGAAACTTCAGTAAACAGAATATTAAATTTTAAAAATGTGATGAGGAACAGTTTTTTTAAGGTTGGGGGATTAAATTATCATTATTATAATTATTATTTTTAGTTCTTTGGCAGAATAAAAAGTGGCTAATAATGTGAGCATGATCGGAACAAGTTGGTAACTTTAATTTTCTCACTGCTGCCTCAAAATTGTAGGCATATCTAGGAAATTGAGTCAGTATCGTCTTTAATGGAGCTTTGGATCTATAACTTGTGTCAACAAGCATATTTGTATGAATTATATTATTGGAAAAATCTCATTGCAATTTGTTGACTAATAATAAAACAATAAATCAACTGAACTAATGAATGCGACTGGAATATCTTGAGAGAAATTTAAACAATTCTACAATTAAGAATTTATACAAAAATCACCAGTTTAGTGAGAGTTTAAAGTTAGTTCGCATTCCAACAGACACGATTTTATTCAAGTGCCATCGCAGACCGCCGAATTTCAACGTCAAAATTTACGGAAGTAACAGCACTAAGCCTCATTGATCTGTTTATCCAGGAAGCAGATTAAACTATAACTTACTGATGATGGTCAAGTTGACTTTAATGTTCCTTGTAGGAGTTTGTTTAAAGTCGACTCGGCAGTGATAGATTCCCCCGTCGCTGTCTCGGACACTGTCCAGTGTAAGTTTAGCTGGATTGTCCTGATAGCGGAAGTAAGCCCGACCTCCCAAGACACTTTCGTCATGCCAGTGCTTTCCTTGCTCTGGAAGTTTATCCCTTGAGTCGAACCTGGAAGGACGACAAAGAAATAGATTAGTTGAACAAAATCCTCAACAAATAACGACAAGTTCATTCAGCTGCGATTGCAACCGTTTATTTTTCCGTCTTGATCATTCACTAAATAACAATATTTAAAGAAGAGTTGAATGTTTTGTTTTCTGCGAGCAATATTCATATGTAATATACATATAAATTGCTTTATAATTGGCAACAAAATTCATGCTTGCTTCATGGCTTCATTTTAATATTCTAAATGAAGAACTACGAACGTAGCAGCTGCAATAATTTTTGGCGATTGTACGTGTATTTTTTATGTTTAATTTTATTTATAGCGAATCCACCACGTATCGCATATCTGTAACCGAGTTTCCTCAATTTGCATCTTGAATAACTGCACTATATGTGAAATTTTATTCACAGCAATTTGCAATCCGTGAGGACAGCTATCATTTAGATTTCAGAAAGCGTACTGACGTAGCAATCGATTTTCGTCGAATAAGTAGCAGGAAGTAACAACTACTTTGACATTTTATAAAGCTAGGTCTGACGCTGATCAATTTTCAGATTAAATCTTTTTAGAAATGGGAATGTGTGAATCCGAAGGAACGTTTTAATGTTTTTTTGACTTAAAAAAATTATAATTAAAATATATAAACGTGCCTTATGTTCAGTTTTACTTTTTTTAATTATCGTAAGCTATAGGGTGGCACATCTAAGAAGATCCACCCTTAGGTATATAATTTGAAAACAGAAAATATTGTATAGTATATTTTATTTATGCAAACATTTTACGAATCAAGGGGTCATGTTTGACTATTAATTTTGTGGGTCACACTGTCTTTTTTAAATATTTCAGAAGAACTAGCGAAGTTTTACAAATAATAGTAATAAGTTTAAAAAATATTGTATGTGTTTTTGGTGTTGTGAAGATAAATCTTATATTAAAAAAATAAAATTGAGTTAATTTTTATTTATCCGAATTTAAAAAAATCTGTTTATTTAGCGTCTATTTGTTACTACCTAAAATGCCTAATTTACCGTTAGAGACCTAAAGTGTTAATTAACCTAATTGTAAATTTTAAAAGACTGTGATGTGGAAAAGCTCTAAGTAAACATTTAAAATACTGAAGTTTGGATTATGTTCACATTTTTGTTTCCGAGTTTAAGTGCGAAAAAAAATCACACTTTGAACAACACTGCATTGGCGATGCACATAAAAAGAACGAGAATAAATCCAGTAAACACACTTTATTAAACATTAGTTGCGAGAATGATTTTACGCAATTTTGCACCGATTCATGTAGGGCATTTACCGCAGTAAATATTCCATGGAATAAAGTTAGTTGTCCTGAGTTTAAAAATTTTATGCATAAATATACAGGAAGGCATTTACCCTCAGAAAGCACTCTGAGAAAAAATTATTTACCAAAAGATTACGAAATGGTGATAGATTGTTCAATATTTAATTTTTTTAAGAATAGTTTGCTTTTGTAACTCATTTTAAATACCTGAATTATTATTTTATTTTTTGTTAAATGCGACTTGCTTTAATTTGATCGCCATTTTTTTGCGATAACTTAGAATTAGTGGACGTAACTATAGATCGTTTGTTTCTTTAATCATTTTTTTGTTTGTTACATAAAATATTTGTTTCTATAATGTTTTGTTTAATGTTTTATTTAATACATATTTTTTTGATGTATGCTTTTTCGTTGCAAATATTTTTTCCTCCAGGTTTTTAACCTAAACTAAGATTTTTACAACCTAAATCGTAAATTTTTGGACCTAAAAATGTCTCCTTTTATTCATTTTTTATCTAAATAAAATCCGAAGCCTACTCATCAATTTTTTAAATACGAGGACCAAATTAGTGTCGATTAAAACTGTAATATGCGTAAAATTTCAGACAGAATATGAACAAACAGAGCGATGCGAGAAAGCATTATCATATTTTGCAAGGAGTGATTCGCTCCAAAAACAGGAAATTAGTCAATTATCAAGATGACCCTGTTACAATACTGCGGTTAACAATCGACTAAAATTATATTTCAATTTAACATCACCTGTCACCGTTGTCATAAGAAAGTGAGACATCTTTTAAGCTACTTTTCTGAAAGGCTGATGCATTTACAAAGGGAGTTGCCGTAGAGAGATTGCACAAAGGAAGTGTACCTATTTTTCTATGTTCTGTCAGCAGCCACAAAATGACTGAGACACTTTGTATACACCTTTGTAAACATTTTATCCAAGTTGTTTTTATCTTTTCTCTGAATCAGGAACGTGATTATTAATAAATCTTTTCAAGAACCCCTTAATCGATTACCTCTACCTTGAGCAAGACGCGAATGACGTTTGTAAAGTTATTGTCAATCAAGACAATACTCCTTTCATAATCTAAATTCATCACTAATAGCACCGCTTGTCAAAGGGAAATGAATTATCACCGAGATCGAGCAAACGCACTGGAACTTCCCTTAATTATGCGGCGACACCCGAAAAAGGTGATTGATTCAAGGGGTGAGCGAATGAATGAGATGATAGCTCGCTAACGATGTATAATTTGAAACACGTCCACTCAACACACAATAATCAACACGTTGAATTTCAGACATGACGTTAACATGTTGTTATTCTAATTGATCCCTATTCAACGATTCGCTTTAAATAATTTAATAGTGGTACTCGGCGAGACATTCATCAAGACTTGCCAACTGTAACACGCTATAATAAATGTACGCAATTGTAGAAAGCATGCTTGCGCTAATTACTTACGAGTATATGGGAGTTTTACGATTCTCGCCGTCTTTAAACCATATGACTATATGCATTTTGTCACCGGCAAGGGCAGGGACTATGTCGCATGGTAATTTTGCCACTCCACCTTGGACTGCTTCCACCATATATGTGGCACTAGCTGGAACAGAAAGATATCGTCTAAATGCCAGTTAGAACAAGAATTAGCGGAGATACTTAATTTCTAAGTCTTAAAATTGTAGCTCATGATGATTTCAACAGCAGATAAACTCTACATCGTGGAATTAAAAACATGCCTTTGCGCAAAAAGAGGATAATTCCAGAATCCGGTGGTATGTCATTTTTATATCGGCCTTGCCGACAATTTGTTGATGTAAATTCCACCCGAGATGGTTTTTTAATGAACACAAGTTCTCTTTTATGCGGAAACCTCGAAATTAAGAAAAGTTTTATTGTTGTTTGAAGACAATTTCTTTAGTAACTTGGAATTTATGTGTTACATTGTGGCGAATTTTTTCAGCGTGACGAGATGAACTCTTAGCGATCTTAAACCGGAAAAAACGGCAATAATAAATAATTGAGGCTGGCAGCAATAATTTTGCCACAAATGTCGGTTGAACAGTTCGAAACGGACTTTTACTGCTTTTAAAATACCTTCAGTCGTTGTAATTTAGTTTCCTTTAGACACAAGTAACATTTATTAAAGTTAAAGCATCTATTAAGAGAAAGAAGCGTCGCGTTTCTTTAGTTCCACCCCCCGAGCTCAGGGTTAATGAGGCGCTAAGAACACCAAGAGTGACCCGAGAAATGCATCGTTTGACCTCCAGAACGACCATAAATTGGATCAGGCCATAACGAAACCACTCCAGGAACTGTCTCGGCAATCTGCCAAGTAAACGGAAGCAATGCCAGATATCCATGGGCACTTCGATTTTCAAATTAGGAAGATCCATTGTGAGTGGTAGAACTGTAAATGGCCGAGTTTAACAGTAGTTGAAAGTTCGACAAGGTTATATTAGCTTCTGCTGCCCCTATTGAGACATATATCCTCAATTTAACGAATCATTATATTCCAGCGTTGGCAGCACGTTCCACGTTACAAGAATATTAATATGCGGAATAAGAAATTTTATTTGAAAAATTTATTAACTAAATATGACCAAGTAACTATTTACATATAGGTACAACGGAAACATGTAAAAAAGGTATTGCAATTTTCGGGGCAATCTACGGTGAATTTTTCAATAATCGTTAGTAAAACTTTCACGAAACTGAACGCAGTTAAATAAACCACTTCCAAAACACTAGACTGAATTAAACATAAATACCTTATTTCAAGATTTAAAACCGATTTTCAACTTACGCACTGCAATTGTCAGTGCATTCGTTGTAACCACTAAACATTTTTTGTATCAGTCGTGTAACTATCATTACATTAATTAAAATTCGCTGAAAATCAGTTAATGTTTTATTTTTATTTTAATTCAGACATTACTTGCGTCAGTGAAGTTGTATTGAATTAGCTGGTGGAATTCGTATAAAACTGTGGTTTTATAATTGAGTAGCTTTTAAATTTACATCGATGGAACCGAGTTCGTGGAGGATAAATTAAATGTGAACATTTTCATTTTACATTTTGAAATAAGTGAGTGACTCTTTAGATTTATTATTTAAACCCAATAGCAGCAACGATATTCTAAAAAAAAAAATGTGTTCCGGAAGAACTGACTTTAATCTACTCTAGCGAGCACACAATAGATTCTTAATGTTTGTTGCAGAAGTAACATAGATTTAGGGGTTATAAAACGTGGTCAAAAGATTATTTGTTGAACAAATTAAATAAATAGTTCTTGAAATAATTCATCCTGTGCCACACTTTTGCTTGAATTTCAGTATTGTGATTTTTTAGAAACACTTATACAGTATGTTTCAACAAAATGATTGTATCAATAATTTATTTTATCGTTAATCACACACCTGGCCCATTATTTTTTTCTTAATATACCTAGTATTCTTTAAGCAACACGATACGCAAAAACATGTTTTTAATTTCTCGCAGAGAAATGCGGGTTTTGCGGTTAAGCTCCGCCTTCTTGGCCCACGACGAATAAAGAAAATAATCACAATAGAGATAGGGTGGGTGGGCGGGGCTTACATCTTGCCTCTTTTTTCTAAATATGTGTAGCCATCTTTTCACAACAAGAAACTTAAAATATGTTGAAAATGGTAAATTTGTATAGGGAAATATCGATTTTACAATTAAGCTCCACCCCTCGGCTTACGACAAATAAAAAATCATCAGAATTGAGAGAGGGTGGGTGGGCGGGGCTACATTTTGCCTTTTTTCTTAATATTTGGAGACTTCATTCGACAACAAGAAACTTAAAACATGTCTAAAATGAATGAATTAAGTTGAGACCTATAATATAATTCTTACCCTTCTTTTTATTAATATACATAGCCATCTTTTCACAACAAGAAACTTAAAACATTTTGCCTTTTTGTTTTAATATGTCTAGACTTCTTTTCACAACATGAAACTTAAAATATGTTTAAAATGGTAGATTTTTGGAAGGAAATATGGATTTTGCAATTATGGGGCGGAGCCTAATTGCAAAATCGATATTTCCTTATACAAATTTTCCATTTTAGACATGTTTTAAGTTTTTGTCGAAATAAGTCTACACATACTAAAACAAAAAGACAAAATGTAAGCCCACCCACCCGCCCGATATCAGTTGTGATGATTTTTTTATTTGGCGTTAACCAAGAGGGCGGAGCTTAACTGCAAAATACTTATTTCTCTACAAGAAAATAAAAACATGTTTTTGAGTATCGCTTATTCAAAGAATACCATGTGTATTAAGAAAAAACAATATAATGGTGTAGAACTGTGACTATCATCTGATATTGCATCGTGTTATTTGTCACAAAGTTATGTCAAAATTATGTTAAGTAACCCTCCCTCGAAATTTACCTCTAACTTTGCGTAAAATGGACGATTTAAAAAAACATACAACTAAATTTTAGAGTTCACCTTAGACTAGACATACCTACCTAGCTAACTTCTTGTAAATTTTAGAAGGCTAGTAACATCAATTATCGGAATGAGAACATGGGGGTCCATCGAGAAATTTACAAAGTGTATACAGATGTTTTTTTGGGTATAATTATTTTTATTATTTTCAGTTTTGACGGCGACATTGGCGTTTTGAAAAAATTATGTTGTTTTTGCAATTTTGATGACGTTACCAAGAAAAACAAAGCTAGTAAAAAATTGTGGAAAAGAAGGTTATTTTGACAGAAAATCCCTTGCCCTTGAAGTATAGTCCTACAAATTCCGCTTCTTTAAAAAATAAAAAAAATAGATTTTGCGATTTTTGTTTTGTGATAACTGTTAACCTCTATTAAATGACGTAATTAACATCTCTGCAACTCCTGCGTCTTTAAATATGGAGTATATTTAAAGCAGATAACTAACGGGAAAAAATATAAACATTCTCAGTTTCTCAGTGTCTGTTTAACTTCGACTGTTTGTGTTTATACTTCGACCGAATTCGACTTTTAGCACGTTCAGATTACAATCATCAGCGGTTAAAAGAAAATGAAATTTGGTTGATTTTGTGTTCTCACGCGGAGGAAAAGACTTAAACCAATCTTAAAATATCTTCATGATTTCAAAGGATTGGGTTTGTGCAATTTCAAAGGTAAATTGTAAAGTATTATTATTCAATGTTGATTTTTTTTTCAAAAATCTGGATGCTAAGGGTAAAAAGTCAACACAGATTCATAAATCGCACAAGCAGGACTTATGTTATTTTATAAAATTTAAAGAGAATTTGTACGGTAGAATTCTAAGATGATAGCATAATTTTTTGGGAAGGCCTTAATCGAACAATTAACGATTGATTAACGATTTGTCTTGTTTTCCTATAACCTTAAAACGTTCGGAATGTTTCAGTACATTCGCTTTTTCAATTTTAAAGTTAAATTGTAAATACTTATTTTTGATTCTAGATTGCGAAATTGCCACATTTGCATTCGAGAATGCAAATAAATTTCGCAATCCAGTATCAAACAAAGTTTTTTCGAAAACTACACAGCTCCATATTAGGGGAAACTCAAAAAAGAATTACAAAAATGCAATAAAATCAAAGCAAAGAAATCAAATCAAGTAATTTTTTTAATCAAGACGATCCATAGCAGCGTAGCAAACAATAAAAAGCAGTTGTTTCAAAAACTTGTTTTGGAGCTGCAATTTTATAGTGTTTTATTAAAAAGTGAGTTCTGAACGAGGTTCTGAAAGTGAAAATGAGTTACTGCAAGAAGTTTTCGTGCAGTGTCGCAATTGATACCACAAAAATCCGTAAAACAATACGAAAATCCAAAAAGTGTTCGAATCTGTGTTATTGGCATACTTCGAGCATAAAGTAAAAAAGGTAGCACCCCCAACTTTATAATCGATATATTCGATATTAAAACGTACACTGAACGTTAAAAAAAATGTAAATATAGCAAAATTTCCGAAGCTACCATATTTGAAAAACAAGTCAATTGGGTACCGATCAAAAAAGTCGAAGGTTCTAAAAGAAGAAATAGAGAGATTTTTACAACAGGCACCTGATAATAGATTTTTGCTAGAAAAGGTAGGTAACCCCAATTGATATAAATAGATCGACTGAAATAATTTTGACCCATTTTTCAGGTCATCTTAATAACTGGCCTTTGCGGAGCTTGTAGAAGAGATGAACTGCTCAAAATGACGACCAGTGATATAGAAGATAAATATTCAATCATCATTATAAGAATTCCCGATTCTAAAAATTATAGTCGGGGAACTTTCGTGATTTCACCAGTCAAAGATTTTTTGTGAAATATATCAGGGAAAAATGTGTTAATCAAGTGGTTGGCGTCAACAAAATAAGGAATGTACCAAAAGACATATCAACGTATCTCAAATTGCCTCACCCGGAAAATTATACAGGGCACTGCTTCAGGCGTTCCTCCGCTAACCTGTTGACCGACTCACAAGACAATATTACAACCATTAAACGATATGGGGGTGGCGCTCTACTACGGTAGCAGAGACATATGTAGAAGATTCTATACAAAATAAAATTTCGATAGCAAATAAAATGTTACAATCTTCAGCAGAGCTCA